ATAAAACTAAAACAAAATAAAATTCTAAAATTATTAATTATGATTCTAAATATTTTAAAGTTATAAAATAAATCTAAACTAATTAAAAAAATTCTAAATTAATATTAAACTAAATCTAAATATAAGATTTACTAATATATATATTTTTTTATATTTTGTTTTTATAAAAATAACAGAATCTTGTTCAAGTTGTAATTTGTATAAGATATTGAAATTCAATTTACAGAGATCAAGTAAAGAAAGGTTGAAACATATACTCTCATCCTAAGCTACACCAGTTTTGGAGATAAACTCTAACATTGGTCCAGCTTAATTGGGGAAAATCTGTTGACATGTCAAAGTTTCATGTTCGGATAGTCTAGGTACTTAACTGATTAGCAAGGACATATATAGATAAGCATTGGAATGAAATGTTTCCTTGAACTGTATGTAATCAATTAATTGAATAACTAAACAGTTACAAAACTATTTTCTTAATATTCTAAAACAAATTCAACTAAATATACAAAGTATAACTGTACTTAGCTTCATGACATAAGCTCGTCAAAACATACTTACCAACACTGAACGGTCTCTCCATCTCCATATCTAACAGGCACGATACTGATTCTCTCGGAGATAGCTGTTCCACATAAATGATACCTTCTTCATCAGGCTCTTCATAGCCCCAATCAGGATCATCATCATTTTCGGATGAATCCAACTGCTCAGCATCATCTTTGTCCGCAGATGAATCCAACTGTTCCACATCTTGAGTTGTTCCACTCTTCTCGTTCTGCAAAATAAAAATTCAAACTAAACGGTGATACAAACAAGGTACGAAAACAAAACGGCGGCGGGGTTGTGAGCAAACATAGCCTCGAAGAAGAAGAGGTAGCAGTAGAGATGTGAGACGGAGCACATCAAAATGAGGCCGGTGACTGAAGGTGTTGTTGGTGATGACTTGAATCGAAGAAAGGTGACGAAAAGTCGTCACAGTGTTGTGGTTGAGGAAGTAGATTGGTTCATATTCTAGCCTCACGATCCAGGAAGATCCGTTCAGTGAGAATCACCGGTTTCGGATCTTCATCGGAGGTTCTAGGATCAACGGGAAGAAGACTCGCCGATTTCGCGAGTTCGCTCGGACTTCCATTTGAGTTTCATCCGGTGGAAGGTGAAATCGGAAGCGTAACAGGACCGAGTCAACTCGGTGTTAGACCAAACGAAGCCATCGTGGTTCACTGGATGCACCATTGCTTGTACGATATAACCGGAAGCGATTTAGGGACGTCGAGATTGCTGACTCAGCTTAGGCCAAAGCTAATCACGACGGTTGAGCAGGATCTCAGCCACGCTGGTAGCTTCCTGGCGAGGTTTGTGGAGGCTTTGCATTATTACAGCGCGTTGTTCAACGTGCTGGGGAATGGTTTGGGTGCGGACAGTGTGGAGAGGCATATGGTGGAGCAGCAGCTGTTGGGTGAGTGCAGTAGTTAGCGCACAGTGAAGATGAAGGGTGTGTTCGTGGAGAGAGGAATAAGGGAGGTTGGGTTCATGTTACTGTATTGCTTTTGTTGTTTGTGTTTTTGTATTCTATCCCCCTTTTCACAAAGATAATAAGAGGCTTTATATAGGAAATGAAAAGAAAAAATATAATCTGAAATTCAATCACATCCGTTGATTTCCATTTTTCTGTATCAATCCACCACTTTTGCTAACAGCCAATGAGAGCATAGTATAGTGTAATCAATATATTTTTTGTGACAAAAACGCCCCTGAATGACAAAAATAAAATAAAACCTGAAAGTATAAAAAATAACTCAATTTAAACTAATTTTTTTTGAATTTTTTCTGAATTAGAAATAAAGACACAAAATGACCGAAAACGATAAAAAAAACGGACGAAAATTTATCCGATAAAATAAAATTAACACATTAAAATAAACTACATGTCACGAAGATTAAAGAAAAAATATTCAAGAAGTCAAAAATCAAAAATAAAATAATAATAAAAATATCAGACTAAACAGACGTTTAAGGTTAAAAACGAGACTTCGAACTACACCGAAAAAATAAAGCGAGCATACCGTCATGATATACGCGAAACGCAGATTCATAAAATGATCGGTAAAAGGTGAAAACTTGAAATATTTTCTCGCTAATTTCCCACATAGTGTCGAATCGCTTTTAACAGTCGGTCTATAAAACCAAAATATTTTTATTATTGACATATAAACAACTTGGAGCAATGCAACAAATGAGTAAATAGATAAAAATGCATGAAGCAAAATGCCGGGTATTTTACAACTGAAAGACGATGCAAACTTTGATTTAAACTGACTTTTTCTGATCAACTTAAATACGACTAATGATGCAAAATGTGATGAATGAAGATATTTACTAATGATCGTGACCAAATAACAAAATATGATATGAAAGTGCGACTAAAACATATTAGGGGCGAAATTAAGGGTGCAACGGTTGTGCCTTGATGAATCAGTCTTCGAGAATCCACAATCAACCGTACTTCGGGCTTGGGGGACTCAAAACCTTAATTGAGGCGCGACACCTGATGCTCTTGATTCAGACTTGTCTCTGCACATGAAGCAAAAGAAAACATGAACATACACCTTTGTATGCAATTAGAAATTAGTGATACATAGGCTAAAAATGTTCAAAACACTTGACAATCTTTGCATAGTCAGAGCTCGAAGGTGAGAGGTTAAAACCAACCGTATTTCGTGACCTTGACTTATTTTAAAAAATGCAAAAACAAAAAATGGGATCTTAGGTCAAAAATTGGGGTACAACAGGTTGATGGGTACTTCACAAAGCATGCTAAGGGACATGAGTGACCTAGATGGAATTTGCTCATCCTGCATAACAGGATAAATGTCTAAGGGCCCAAATATTGAACTGGACAAGGGTGACACAGTATATGCCTTGTGTTCAATATAGACATGAGGGCAAAAGGGTAATTGTACAACACAAATATTATCACGGAAAAGGTTTGGTCAGATCACATGACATTTTCGTGACTTGGGTAACAGTGATGTGTTGCTAGATACCGCTCACTATTTATTATATTAAATGTGTGATTTAATATAATTGTCAACGTCGCGAAAACCTACAGGGTCACACACATAAGGACATGTTGATGAGAGATAGAATAAGTAAGGAACACCGTAAGGTACGGTGCACTTAAGTGTAATACGGAAAGTGGTAAGGTACCACGTGGATAAGTGATATATGGTACATCATAAGGTATGATGTCCATAAGCTTAATTGGGCTTTTAGCTTATAGCCTTAATTGGGATTTTAGCTTGTAGCCCACACGAGTGATTCTATAAATAGATCCCTTGTGATGAAGCAATTTTACTTGATGCAATTTCGTTTTTGATTCTCTCTCTCACTCAAGGTTTCCGTTCGTGATCAGCTAGCACTGTGACCGGAAGCGATATGTTCGTGTGGACTGAGTAGAGGCGTTGTTCTTCATCAACGCTCGTGATCACAACATCAAAGGTCTGAATTGCCACAAGAGGTAAATATTTCTATCACTGACCATGCTCATTCGTAAGGATCGCTAAAGGAAAATTTTAAATTCCGTTGCGCTTTTGATCGCAATTTTCCTTCAGAAACAGTGTGTGTCGAAGGGAGGTTGCCCAGTCGAAGAGCTTGTGGATCGAAGCAAGCTACACACAAATTTGATTGGTTTTTAATTTAGATATAAAATAGATATATTAGATTTAGTACCAAAATAAGTATTTTGGGCTTTTTATAGTTTTGAGCTTTGACTTAGGGAGCAAGCTAACCTAAATCTATAAATAGAGGGAGTAACCCTCTAATTTTGTAATTAAGTCAATTCATTGTAATCACAGAATTTGCAGTTGCAAGTCATTAATAAAGTTTTTCACAATTTGTGGGTATAGAGAAACTCTGTAGAAAATATTTATCTTCTTTTTTTATTTTATTTTCTCATAATTCATTATTATTTTGTGGTGATATCAATCTTGTTAATTAAAATTGATAAAAATTTATCATAAATATTTGATGGATTTCTATCATCTAATGAAATTGAATCATACAATATAAAAGAGTAATAAAAGAAGAAGGAAGAGAAATTCTTTTATTGAAAATGTGTGCCTTTCATTCAAGAGCTGCAACAAATATCTATGGCTTAATGGTTACAATCCAACCATACACGTGCCAAGAGAAAAATAACAAATTATGTGTTGGCAAATCTATATGACAGACAAAATAATAATAACAACAAAAATAAAGAAATAGGCAAACTAGTTGAAATCCTATGAAGATGAGAACTCTTATTTATTCAACTTCCTTAGAAAAAACACATTTTATTTTCCGAAATTTAGTTGAGTTTTCCCGCATTTCAACATCCCACTCCTTTGGTTTCTCTATCGTAGCCACGTGTTCTTCCCCATTTCGCTTCCTTCTTCACGATCCACATTATCTTATTTTCCTTCTTCCAGAAAAAAAAATGTTCTTCATTTCTCTCTGAAGAACCGGTTCGTTTCTTCTATTCCACGGTAACAATTCATATTTACCTGCAAAAATTGCTTACTATTATTGGTATCGTTCTTGTTCAATTCATTATCCGATGTCATGCATTGCATATGAAAAAAAGGTCTGTTACCAAAATTAAAAAATGAAAAAGGAAATTGGATTTGAATTAATCATAGATGTTACACAATAACGATTGTTTCAATTAATCATAGAATATTCCTATCATCTATAAATTACATATGATTTTGAATTGTGCCATGCAATTTCTTTTTTTGAAACTTATGATTCAACATTTAATTTGGAAATACGCGATTTGAATTGTGTTCTGTTAAATATGGAAGGAACTTGAAATTTATAACAGATTGTTTGCGTGATTGGTTTGAGGAAATTATTTCTGTTATTGTTACTATTCTGATTTTGAATAACAAAAGTATTACTAGCTACCTTGTTTTCATTTCATTTTCAGGATGTTTTAGCTTGATTAAGATTTGCAAAGAAAGATGTCGTTCAAGAAATTGAAGGAGAGTATAACTGAAAAAAAACTATCTCCAGAAGAGCAGCTGATCAAGGTACTAGACATTAATTTTGCCAGGAGGTTTTTTTAGGGGTGTGTTGTAGTGATGCCATTTTCTGAAGATACTTTGAAGTATCAGAGTGTTTGATTTCCTTTGTTCTTTTTCAGATCGAAGAAACCAGAAAGATAATTGGTCCAATTGCCGACAAGTTCCCGACTATATGCTCGGATGCATCAGTGCTAAGGTTTCTTAAAGCACGAAACTATAATACTATAAAGGCTGCAAGGATGTTGAGAGGCACCATAAAATGGAGGCTGGAGTTCAAGCCTGAGAAGATTCGATGGGTGCGAATCAAATGTTACTTTTCATCTATTTTTTTCGAAAAATAAAAAAACAAGAGAATATGAGAGTTCAATTTAGAAAAACATGAAGCATGGTAATTGGTGAAATATGCTAGTCCTCTAAGTGCCTTTTGGTATGGTTAATGAGTAAAAACTTGAGAACTTGGATAAATATAGCTCGATCCCAATGAAGAATAACTGAAACAAAGCTGTTGGCTTTAGTTTTACAAATGAACTCGATGTAACTAGGAAAGATCTATCACTTTACAATTTTAATTTTCATTGCAAACAAGTAAATTTGGGGGCTTTAACACTCTAACATTCTTTGTCTGTCAGATTTTATTCTGTGCTCCCGATTTCAGGATAACATTCCTGACCATAATCGGGTGGTTTTAAATAGTGATCAGTTACTTATTGTTTAGTAAATTAGTGCAACTAAAAGACAGTTATCTATTGTACTTCATACAATCAGGAGGATGTAGCTAAAGAAGCTTTAACGGGAAGGCTATATAGGGCTGACTACTTGGACAGACAAGGAAGGGTTGTTTTTGTCATTAAAGCTGGATTTCAGGTAATTAAACACCTTGATGGGGAATTCATTCATTCAAAAAAAAAAAATTTGTGGTGATTATACTTGATCCTTCTTGTTTCGTACATGTTATGTTATTATAATTTATGATTCAATCTTGTAACTAAATCCTTAGTTATCCAATGTAGACTACAAGTTTGGCAACGGTACAGATCAAGTACCTCGTTTACTGTTTGGAGAATGCCATATATAATTCACATTCCACACAAGAAAAGATGGTTTGGCTTATTGATTTTCAAGGGTGGAGCACATCGTGTATATCAGTCAAGGTCACCCGAGATACTGCTCAAGTCCTGCAGCATCATTACCCAGAAAGGTTGGGCCTTGCAGTCTTGTACAATCCACCAAAATTGTTCGAGTCATTTTGGACGGTACGATAACATAATCCACCCAAAAATGTTATGTATATATGCTTGTCAATTATACTTTTTTCTGTGTTTGATGAGTGTGCATTCTTTGGATCAGATGGTGAAACCGTTTCTTGAACCCAAGACTTACAAAAAGGCGATATTTGCTTACCCTGGCAACCCAAAGAGCCGAGTGATGATGGAAGAACTCTTTGACATGGACAAGCTAGAATCCTGTTTTGGTGGAAATAATAAAGCAGGAATGAACTTGGAAGCTTATGGTCAAAAAATGAGAGAAGATGATAAAAGGATGTCTGGTTTAATTGATTCTGGCTGTTCAACCCCTAGTTTTTTTAGCGCAGATGCTAATGAAACATTGCATTCAAGTAATGGTTCTGAGGATGGATCATCTTATAGAGAAGCAGTTAATTCAAACTTTGAGGAAGACGATGATCTTATGCACCAGTCACCTTGCTCCGAATATGAAACCAAAAATGAGATTGGTCCTGACAAAATCGAGTGAAGAACTGAATCAAAAGAGCACTGGTAACTGGCAGGGTCAATTATGTTACTCATCTAAAATTTACCAAACCAGTATGTAATGTTGGTTTTAAGTGACATTTACACCTTGCTTTCAACCAAATGCCCTATTTCACTTTTTCATTGAAATTGGGAGCAAGTTTTAGTTGGTTCTTTTGACATGAAAATTTCAACCAGCACTCAGGAAATAATGTTATTTTCTTCCTCCCTCTCATATTTATCACTCTTTCTTTCTGAGGTGGAGTGGGACTGTGGTGGGGTGTGTTTGTATTGTGCAATGTCTGAGAATATATTGAGAAGCACCATTCACCACTCTTTCATGTACAGCCTAACAACAGTGATTAAGAAGTTGATATTGATATATAATTTTTTATTGGAAATTATAACATTTTATAACGTGCCTCTAAAAATTATCCAGAAAGACAAAATTCAGTAGATATTTGAGATTATTGATGTCGAAATTGTTACCTTTTTATTCCATTTTTAAGGAGCACTTATCTGTATTTGCCTAAAGTTGGAGCATCAAAGTTCAGAGCGAACACTAGTTTTCTTGGATGCATTTGTTGGTTGGTGCTGCAGATGGTGTCAAGGGTATTGAACAAATTGCATCATCAGTTTTTACCATATCTATCTATACTCTATAGTTGTGTCTTATCCACATCCATCTTTTAATCTTTTGCTTGAGGGAATGTAGATTGAAATAACTTCAGTCAATCTCCAACAAGCTAGACCGATAGACTCTTTAGCGTGCAAATAACATGGAAGGTATTTGGGCGTGAAAGGATGGGGTCAAGTGGCAAGTACATGATTCAGTCCGACCCAATACTGTTTTCTCATAACTCATGGGAGAATGCGTCGAATCACGTGTTAGGAGAATATTTTAATTCATTTTAAGTCAACATAACCGTGTTTTCTATTAGGGATGACTCACCCCACTCACTTCCATTATTAGCTCAAAGTCAAGGGTGTGTGGCCGTATTAACATACATGAGAATGGATTTTCACAATGACTCGTGGATCAAGTAATCACATTTATAATTATCTCAGTCAAACAATTGGGTAGAGGATTAACTTTTTATATAACTGACTCATTCATTCATGTTTTTCTTGAACCAAATATTCGATTAATTTAACTTGAATGAGTTTACATCAATTTTTACCTAAGGATTCTATTTATGCATGCAAAATACAATTTAATGAATTGCACTCTATTATAAGATACGAGTAAAATATAACTTAGAGGAGACTCAATTATTAAAATGATAAACGATAAAAGAGAATAAACAGGACAATCAGTAAAATCCAAACCCTAGAGAGACATAACAACTTCAAAAGATTTAGACTAAAGCTGCTTATTTGTTGTTTTAAGTTTTCAATATTATCTTAGATTATCTAATTATATTGAAAGACACATGATAAAATTGTCATATAGTGGAAGACTAGAAATTTTCAATGGTTCTCCAATGGATATTGGATTAGACGCAAGCAAGGATTAACACTCTAAACTAGTATATGTTGGATATGTGACTCCATACACAAGAGTGAGGTGAATTGTGGGGGCTTTAAAATCGTTGATTTAAAACAAAATTGTTTGATAAATCAAATTGAACATTTTCTAAAAAAGTTTGAATAAATATGCAGCAGAAATTTAAAGCAAAAAAAAAAAGATTGCAAATAAAGGAGATAAGGGAAGAGTAATGACACCGAAGAATTATATAGTCTCAGTCCAAAAGACTTGATCATGTCCCTAAGAATCAACCTTGAAAGTATCTAATATGCTTGAGAGCTTTTAGAAGATTATGTCCATGATGGCTTCTCGCCAAGTATATCGATAGTGTCGAAATAAAAATAAAAGTATCGTCTCCACGAGGATTGTAATTTAACAAGAGAATTATGTGTGAATATTAAGTAATAAATGAGGGGATTTCATTAGAAAAGCGGTTCCAAAACGAGAAATTAAAAAGATGAAATTGAAGATGTGAAAGGCGGTTATGACTTTATTATCAAATCCCCTTTTTTTACATGTTGATAAAATATATATATCTATTGAGTTTCAATTAAGTTATTATCTCACTACAAATTAACAAAACCACTACACTCAATTTCTTGATGTGTAGCTCATTAATTTATACGATAATTTCCTAATTTCTTAGGTCAATTCAAGATTAAATTAGGCGTTTTAAGAGCGTTAATTCATAAGCAACATCTTCTAAATTCATATTCATAGTTCATTACAAATTTTAAATTTTTTTCTAATTCAGATAATTAGACTAACAATCAGTAATATCTAATTATCTAGATCGATTTGTATGCATGTAAGCAACAAAAAACATTAAACACAAGATCAATTTAAATAAGATAATAACATTAAAAGTACTCAACAAATATCAAACAGACATATGATCCAATAGAGTAAAAATAAGGTTCATTTTAAAAAGGCCTAATCTAGAGAAACTTAGCTACTCATTGATAAATTAACAAATACCATAAGTGGAGAAGTATTCATTATAAAAATATATGAAATAATTGCTCTTCAATGACTTCAATGTGCTCCAAAATTATCCCTTGAATGACTATAGTCATCACTTTCCCTCTCGGTCCAGAACCCTTAAAAAAGTAGTCAAATAACCCTTTAAATAGAAAATAAATGTGTTAGCCAAAAAGAATCCATCACACTGTAAGAGGTTAGTATCGCACCGCGATGCAAGACTCATCGCATCGTGATGGGATCCATTGCAGGTGCGAGAATTCTAGTGGTTGAAATGTCACCTTTTTAGCTTTTTTTGCAAAATAACCCGTCTTAATCTGAGTTACGAAAATTCAGATATGATCCAATTACCGAACAAATGTCATGATGTAAATGTGTTTAAAAATACTTGTTTCTTCAAAATTTCTTCACTTTTTCTTCATAATTCTTCTAAGTCTTGATTTTTTTCACTTTTTTTAGTTTTTGCTATATTATTCATACTTTGGCATGACTTTTGATCATTATTCTTTCAATTTCACCCGAATTTGTCCGTAAAAATCACGTTATGACGACTATCATCAAATCCCATTATGAAAAGAAATGAAGTTTCATGGTAACTTCTAACCAAACAACAAACACAACTAAGAGGTTAGTCTTCTCACCAAACTGAGATTTTGCACAGGCTAATCTCAAACCAAGATGGAGTTTTGAGTTGTCTATCCTCTAAACTGAGCCTAGATTTTATATTGGGTGACTATGAACCGAACCGAGATTTATTTTGGGATGATCTCGAACCTACTATGTTTATATCGAGTTGAACTCAGAAACTAAGTAAAAGTTTACACCAGACTGATCTCGGACCGATAGAACTTTTAACCAGGCTAAGCTCAAATATGTGAGAAAAACAAAAAGGATTTAGATAGGTGATGAGAGAAATATAAAGTGAGTTTTTTTCACATTTTTTGGATGTGACTAAGTGATATAGAAACTCTCCATTTATAGGTCAATGCGTTTTATAAACATAGAAATATTCCATGGGCTTTTTAACTCACATAATCGATTAGACAGCTTAAATAATCGATTATTAAGGCCCCAAATGGAAGGTTTTAATATAGAGTCGTTACCAATCATTGATAGACAGACATAATCTATTATAGACTGGATTAGGCATCATCTAATTAATCAGTTATAAATTTAATCGACTAGACAATTTAGAAAAGTTTTCCTAATCAAGACTTTGAAATTGCATGTTCTGTTTTGTTCTCTTTTTTTTTGTTTGGAATTTTGAATTTAGAGTTTTACTCGGAGTTAAAAAATTTAAGTGTGGGGAATTTGATCAATACATTTTGATGCACACTCTTTTACTATTGTGATATGATAATTCTTTAGGTTCTCTTGTTATTTTTATTGTTTTCAATGCGAATGCACATGTATCCCACTATTTTTCATCTTGGAATTCAATTCAAGAAACAACTTTGTTAATTTCTATACAAGTGTATATTATTTTTTATCATAATGTGTTGGTGAAAGGTGTTTGTAAATAGGAAGTGGTGTAATTTCTACTTTGGAAAAATGTCATTTGAATTGGGGTGATTCAAAGTCCATCATAGTTGTTGGTATTTTTGTAACATCAAGAAAGTGACGTGATTCTTTATTGTTGTTAGAAGATTGTAAGAGAAATCTTAGTAGTAGGCTTGTACGAAGATCTAACAACAGTGAAAATCTCTCATGAGGTGTGAGGGGACTAGATATACTCTTGGTTGATAAGGGAAACTAGTATAATTTCTTGTATTCATTTACTTTACTATATTTATTTTTCTACGTATCACTTCAATCTCTTAAACCAAAAAAAAAAAACTCATCACTTCATTTTCATAAAATAGTAAAATTGTAAGGCAACAATTTGTTACTTTTCTCTAAAATTTCTATAATTCATTGCCACCCCCTCTTTGATGCACTCTCATATGAAGTTATGATCATGACAACGTCAATGGTTATTAAAGTCGGTGGCAATCGCTTTCAACTCTTTGATGATGATGATGACCCCATTAGAAAAAATATCAATCCTTTTCAAGAAAAGAGACTCAAGATTGCATTGAAGTGTGTATATTGATCAGAGTATCAGACAAAGAATATTGGAAGCCTTAAAGTTATGAAAAAGTGTGAAAATTCACTAAGTCGTGTCTGTCTGAGTGACCAAAATTTTGTAAAGGTAAGGAATTAACTCCTAAGTAAGAAGGAAACTCTCTCTCTTAAAAATATTTTTTAATTGTTTTTATATCTTAAAAATGTTTCTAAAAAACTTTTTTTCTCTCTTTTGAAATATTTTTTGAACTAGCCAATCAATTTGAGACTTAAGTCAATCGATTGAAAATAATTTTTTTACCTAGACAATCGATTAGAGCATTAAGTAAATCGATTGGCGAATGCCTCGATGATTAACAAAAATGATTATTACAACATCTTAATGACTTGTAACGACTCTCTATCAAATCTTTCCATATTGGGCAAGTCAA